TTGAAAAATGCCAATCTTGATTAATTTCCTTCAATTGTTTCTAAAACTCGCTTATTCTCATACTAATTTATGTCAGAGATATTGCTGTAAAGTGCATGGCTTAATCTTTTGAGGAAAAACTTACAAGAAAGTTTATCGAGAATGAAGGAAGCTATGATATTTGCAGTATTGGCAAACGAACTTTTGAACCCGCTTACTATCGTGGCCACTAAACTTTGGGGCTTGTAATTAGACGTTGTTTCTAGAGTATTAGGAGGCATTAAAAAGAGCACGTTTCTAGATGATGTTTAAAGGCAGTGGCTTCGCTTACCTAGGGTTATTCAGTACGCTGATTCCGAAAATCCACTTTTTAGAGCACTTGGGCGTTGAAGAATCTACCACGTTAATATCCTGAGTTGTTGAGTTTTGCCGATCAACTGCCTTTAAACGAGCGTTAGTGCAGAACTCCAAAAAAATAGTCGCATTAAAGCAAGGCAACTAAAGTACTCGACGTCCTATTATCTCTTCAAGTTATGTAATATATTTTTTCTATGATGGCACACTGCGCTTATGTAATATAATAAATAAATAACAATGAGTTAAATCTGCCGGGATCTCTTTCCTTACTAAAAAATCCCCGGAAAAAATCCAGAGATCTTACACAGTCTTGAAGGATGGAATGAAACGAAGATTAGAATTTGCAAATCCATATCTAAAAAACGCTAATAGTTTATTTATTTCCTAAAACCAGTTTGGATAATCGAAATTAAGGGAGTTTAAGCTTTGAAGTTTTTTTGAGAACTTGATGCAGTCAGAGTCTTTATTTTGAGATTTTTGAAGCACCAGTTGGAGTGTTGGAATTTGCAAGCAAAAGCTTTGCTCTATTTAGAATTTATCAAGCCACTTCGAAAGTAGAGTACATATACCGAAGATTAGCTAAATCCAGATAAGGTGAAAACGATTAGTTGAGCTCCGAAAAATAAGTGCTCGCTCAGAAAATTACTTGAAGTATGAATATTGGAAAGAGCAGGAAATGCTGCACCGAAAACCGCTCGAGTGCTATGGCACCCGCCATACTTGATCCGCTTAATACACTTGATCCGCTTGATCCGCTTCGCCATTGGTCGATTCAGTGAACTGAGCAACAGCGAAGCGGTTGTCCTCTTGATCCGCTTGATCCACTTCATCCACTTCACTATTGGTCAGTTCACTCAATTGACCAATGATGAAGTGGATCAAGCGGATCAAGTGGATTAAGCGAATCAAGTATGGCGCGTACCTACAGGGGCCTGCAGGATCGCGAGAGTCGCGTGCGTATGGCCATTGCGCCGCGCACGTCTGATGTCACTAAAGCAGGTGCCAGACTTATCCGCTTCAACCGGTTCGTTCGGTTCATAGGTCAAATCACCACAATGTCCAACAGAAAAGGTGGTGAACCGAATGAACCTGCTGAACAGGATAACTCTGGCACCTACCTGGTCGTCGGAAGCGCATCTGACGCGTCCGACTCTCGCGATCCTGTAGCCCCCTATACTTCATTTTCTTCACCTTTGCGGCAGGTTCAAAAAATCCCAGGAACCTTCGGATTCACCTATGATAAAGATTTTCTGAAGGGTAGCCGGGTGATGAGCTGCAGAGACTATGGAACAAGTGGGGGAGAATTCTCGTCCCCTATAGAGTAAAGTTCTTGCATTATTGCAAGTTGTATTACGTGAATTAGCGAAGGATTGAGCAAGGATCCCTCCTAGTAACCTGTTTACAGAAATTGGGTTAAATACAGTACCCCAAGGTTTTGAAGTCGTAGATTTCACTAAAACTCCGTTTTGGAGACTACTCGGGATGCTAAACACGAATGCTCTACTCTTTTTGCATGACGAACTTATTCTAGAGTCACGGTAGGACGATAGGAAAGCAAAGTTAAGTTAGGGTTGTAACCTGCTTAAAAGGAATTATCCGACTGCTGATCACAAATACCACATTCTTTTCGCATAATGAGGCATTTCCGTGGCTATAGTAAATATCCGATCAAGTTTACGGATACTGGAATGGCGTCAATTTTTGTTGTAAATGGGCTAGGAGGGTCTACTTGCCTCGAAAATCGTCTGCGAAAACACAAAATACAATTTGCAGAAATGCAGGATTTTTGATTTGAAAGGTGACGCGAAATCTCCACTACCTGCTACTTGGTCTCAGCAGCTATCAACCTGCCCATCCGTCCACATCTGTACGCTCCTTGTCGCCTCAGACTCATAACGTGCAATAATCTTAAGGAATCGTCGCTCATAACTCTTCCCAGAAGATCATTGAGCAGCTAACGATCATCACGGATCTGGTATTAGTGCCTCAAGACCAGCAGAACGATATTCATCAAGTGTGAAGACCCTATCGATCGAGGGTCCTATCACTGGCAAAATGAGGATGAATATGATCAATCCGCTGAATGAAACCTTGAAAAAACACTTTTCTCGTTGTCACTTGGTTTTTGCAATGTCATTCCTGCCTCGTTGCCAAACGCACAAAGTTAACACAATTTCACTTTTATAGATGTCTCAAAGAAGGTCGTTGGTGCACAATTCAGGTAATTCAGGAAAAAATGTTGTAGGGTTAAGGAGGTTTTTCAAAAATTTTGATGTGCTTGTTTGATAGAATATCTGTTGTTAGATATCAAAGATTTAAAGATCATGCATGGCACAGAATCGCGCAAGATTAAATTGAAATTACACTTTGGGCAATACTTCACAAATCATATGGAAACAATGTCGAATACGTAACAGCATACATAAATAAGGCATGAAGATCTTGACGAACAGGGAACAGCGAAATGCATAGAAATAAATTTTCGATGAATTAATGATGAGATGAAGAATGCTTCGCATTGGAAGGTATTGTCAAGCCTCCATGATTCTCTTAACGTGACGACATAATGGAGAACAAACAGAGTTGAATCTTCAATACCATTGTTTTCATGCTCTCTTTATGAAAGAGCCAAGCGATTGCACATTTGAACTCTCATGTCACAAGTGCAGAACATACTTTATGCCAATAATCCTTCTATATCCATTGGTAATCCGTTCACACGTAGAGATTGTACTCTCTGTTAAAGATTCAAAGGTCAGTTGATGATTCATGTTTCATTGCCATTTGAGGTAACTTCCGCTGAAAAAACTACTACATCAAGCGGTATTCTTTTAAGAATAACAGATTTGCATTCATTTGAACGGCACATGAATTTCCGATCACAAAGCATGTTACTCTTATTTCATTTCAGAGCCCGTAGAATTCTCATCATGCGATACAGCTTTCGTAAAGTTATCTCAGGAAGCTTACGATCCGAATTGCATGCGGCTATTGCATATCACAGTTGTCAGATACAGTGGACTAGGAAGAAAGCAGCAGCACTTGCCACGACTGGAACCTTACAAAAAGACCTCTCCAGAAGTTAAATGAGCATGAATTAGTGCGCTCCAATGTGAGATATAGACATACGGCAAGACTAGAGCTCTAAACTCTACCAGTTTGCCTAAACCTCGCTCCTTGACGACAGCGCTTCATAACGAGCGAATAAAGGCGTTCTGGGCAGTTCTGATTCATTATTTTTTTCTGCACGGCCGCTTTATCTACAAGGCGAATTTATTTTAAATGACGTATTATCTCATTTTTGGAGGAAAATAATTCTGTTTACTGCTTATTTGAGCAGTTTTTATTTCTGCAGTTCGTTAAATGTGCGTCAAATATTATTTGAAATATAGCTTCCAAGTCCCGTTTTCATGAAACCTTGGCATGTGTCGTAAGTTCAAATTTCTTTTGTGCCGTACAGGTTTGAGAAGTGGTCTTTATTTCTTCCAATCTCGGCCTTACGTTTCGACGCCTTTCTCTTCCTCAGAGGCCGGAAGACCACTGCAACTCGAGTAGTCTGCACCGGAAAAAGGCAGTCGCGGCAGACGAGTGAATCATACTGTTTTTTTTTTGAGAAGTGGTCTTTTTTTGAGAAGTGACTCGTCTGCCGCGACTGCCTTTTTCCGGTGCAGACTACTCGAGTTGCAGTGGTCTTCCGGCCTCTGAGGAAGAGAAAGGCGTCGAAACGTAAGGCCGAGATTGGAAGAAATAAAGACCACTTCTCAAACCTGTACGGCACAAAAGAAATTTGAATTTGAAATATATATATTTGTTATAAGAGAACTAGTTGGTACTAGCTCATAAACCGCACACTTACTCACTCTAATTTTATAGTTCATCTGCAACATACTGGTATTCCAATATGTGCAGTATGAATGTTCTAACGCGATACTGAAGGTCAAATGTGAAGGCTTCTAGAAAGTCAAGTCAGTTGGAGATCTTATCCGTCCTTGATCGACCACTAGCAGTCAGAGAAACTCTGAATGACGAGCGACTTGAGTACCCTCGCATTCGGCTTTTTTCTTTTTAATACTCAAAACAAATAAACTTGTATAAAATTATTCAAGTAATTTTTTGATACTTAGATAGGTTTTCAAAACTTTTATTCATTCAAAGAAAGCCTTCGCTTTGGAGCAAGCCAGGGCGTCCAGTAAAGTTCTATTTAATTTTCAAAGTGAAACAATATTGGCACAAATAGTGATTTAACAACTCCTCAAACCACGCAATTTACGAGCTTTTATGTTTTTTCTGCACATTAGCTTTCGTGATTGTCTCCACTGCCTTTGTGAATGTACTAATCCAGCGTCCTGGAAGTTGAAAGCAATGACAACCTACTCATCATTCGTCTAATTTTGGTCGAGGATTGTGCTAAAAAAGGCTAAGCTGATAGAAATGACGAGTAGCTGGCATCAAAGAAACCAATACTAAAATCATATGGAATGCTTACTCAGGAAACACCCCCACTAGAAAGAGAAGCAACCCTGGATAATTATTCAAATGCTTTTTAGCCGCTATTTTATCTTTGACAGAAGTTTCAATCGCGCAAAATTGGATAAAGTTTTTGGGAACTACACAATATTTACAATGTGCTTACAAGTTGTTGATCATAACGATCAAACCATTTATGAAAATGTTTGAATTATTATTTTCATGCTTGAAGTCATCATCATCATAACATCATTCACAAATTTATCACAAAGCGCAGCGAGATGTGCTGTTGTAGCGTAGAGCATATCCAGGATATGTATTCATTGAGAACAGCCAATATGACCATGTATTCAAATTCACTACCGTGATAAGGATGCATGCGATGTTTAACAAGAGACCGCTTGAAGCCTAAATATTGTAAGGTAATCAGTTCAAATTTCCACTACCATAAATCGGGAGCGTATACCATATCCATCATGCTCACAGCACCAGTATCGTAAACGATAGCATTGGGAGGAGATGACATTGGAAACATGAACGAATACGATGGACCAATAGCAGCTGCCAACGAAAGATAAAGGGGATGAATTTGCATTCTGATCGCCTGAAAATGCTTGTTGAAAATATAGTCGTCGCAACCATAGTACAAAGTCACATTACATTCGCTCAAAACTTACAACATCAAATACGATAGGTATGACAATACTAGCTGTGGCCGTATTTGTAGTAAACCCTGAGATGGTCACCGCGGCGATGCTAATAATGATCTGCGAAACACTTTATCTTTTCTACAATCAACTTATGTTGGATGACAAAAACTCACTTGCATGACTGCTTGTGGAAGGTTTGAAAGCAATGACTGTAATTGACAGGCCAGCAATGAAGAGAGCCCGCTTTCCTGGTGAATGTACATGGAGATGCGTAACAAGTCTCTATACACTTTAGCTGCTGCATTTAACTCACGGAATTAAGAAAAGCGCGCATGTGACTATCATCAAATATTCAACTACTATAGTGGACCTTAGCTGATTTGCATTGAATTAGCGCAATCAATACGTGTAGCACTCTTACTTCAAAAGTCAGCATCAGTGCTGAATCTGGTATTTTTCACATTACAAACAAGGAGCTTTCATAAGCACACATAAGTGCAATCTTCTATAAATCAGTGCTTGCAATTTTCGATGATTCGATATAACAATGAATTACTAGCAACTATAGTTGAGAATTTTTTGACAAATTTTAGTAACAAAAGCATAATCGCCATATATATGACCAAAGCTCCGAAAATATGACAGTTCGAATTGTCATACTTCAAAAAAGTGAAATTTGATGTAAAACAGACGCACTTGTCTGACTTAGCAGCGTTTCGACTGGTAAGATCAGATTTTAGCAGATCATTATTTCAATTCACCTGCTAAACACAGTAGTAACGAAGCATTAACAAATTTCTTAGCACGTACTAAAAAATGCACTGTCTTCAGTTTTCCATGATATCTCAGGTAAAAACAAGTTCAAGAAGTTAGGAATTGTCTTGTTTCATTATTTCTTTTTTTTGTTGAGCTAAATGGGATACTCTCGACGACCAGGGCACAGAAATAGATAAAGTTTCCATGGCTCTCTTTCAGAGTTTTGTAGAGTACAACCATATATAGAGCCAAGCATACTCGTCGCGAGGCAATCGTCGCGATTCGCTGAGAACTACCGACGGAAACGCGCAACAGATCGCTAATCGCTCGGATATGGGTCATACCTCTGATGCGAAATGTGCATTCTCACAATACATTACATGATTCACATTCGAACAAGCTCAGTCAAGTCGAGCTACATGTTTGTACATTCTTGTTTTTTTCTTTTTCTCTAAATTCTTTAACAAATCCGTTCTTGGACCATGAACGTTTTCATAAAGAAAAGAAAATTCTGCTAAGAAAAACGATGACGGAGTGAAACAAAGCTTGAGCGCCGTATCTCTGCCACTAATTGCTCTAACTATCTTTGCCACTAGAAGTCTAGACAAAATAAAAAGCAAAATGCTTGCAGTCGTTCAAAAGTTCAAAAATCCTCATTCAAAAATTCGGACTTAATCTTAGGGATTGACTTGAGTACAAAACATCATGATTTACAGAAACAGGTGCTCTGGGAGATACGGACTAGTTTTAGATTCAGTAGGCAACATAGCGGTGCGAACAATAATAAAAACATTTGAGAACACTCTTCGGAAGGGAATCTCAATCCAAGCGATGCTCGCTGAGCGACGCGAATTCGCTAAGATGAGCGACGATCGCGGCGATTTCGCGCGGATCGGTATGGCCTAGCAAAAAACGGTCAGCGATGCGTCGCGCCGGACAGCTAGCACATATAGACGTGGATGCCGTGCACGCGTAACACTTGTCCTCTGGCAGAGCTCGCGACGCGATGGATCGCCGCCCGCTATGCCCGGCCCTTATGTGAAACTACCGCGCGACTGTGTTTGCCGGTGGGCCAAACTTTTCACAACAGCCGTGACAAATCGTACAACGAATGCATAAATGAATGTTTGTGTGCACTTATTACATTCTGACCAAGTAGGAGGTTTGAAGGTTTTTATGCTGAGATCTACTTTTTAAGGTTTCAAATGCTTATCATCTTCAAACTTCATACTTATTACGATTTACTCAGTATCTGACAGTTATTATGTAGAGCTTGCTTTGCTCAGATCAAACGCTCATTATGCACCGACCTAATGTCTGTTTGTGATTTTTGTATCTGGAGCGGAAGATATACGTGCCAAAACCGCCGTTTTTTCGAAGACCTCTGCTTGCAAAGTCAAATTGCGCTAGCTTTATCAAAAAAATCCGTTGCAAAAGAAGACTAGCTTCTATGAAAGCCAAAGGAAACCTCTAGAAGAAAAATAAGTAAGAAAGACTTGATGCAAGCTAGAGCTTCATCAGCTACATGATGAAAACGAAAACGATATAAACTTATGGAAAACGCAGTGCAGCACGAACAAAAAAACCACAGAACTTGCGTGCCTGTGTAAGATAGATATATGCGTTAATTATGTAATGTTCGTCAAATATATCTCTCATGCAGAAGAGAGCATGTTGCTGCGTATCTATTCTTTTCTCTTTCGCCAGCATCATTTTTCTATACTCGCTGCATATACCACGTTCATATGTGCTTTACCAGGCACCAAGGGCTGAATCAGAGTGAACGCTGTATCTTATCTCCGAGCAGGTTACGTACGCTGCACACCCGTCTGGCCCGCTTCTGATGGTTGAACTGGACTGGCGCAAGACGTTGGTAAGCAGCTTATGCTAGTAAATACGCATGTACCAACGTAGCAGCGCTGCCATTTCAACGTAAGCTGCGCTCTCGCGTACGCCGCCCAATCTCTCCCAGTTCTAAGCTCCATAAAACCCTGGAGGAGGCTTTACTCAGGAGTTTTCTGAGCACGGTTTACTGACGGTCAGATGACTCTAGAGAGTTCGAATGTATTGCATGGAATTTCGAACATGTATGTAATAAATTGAAAAATTGAATTATCTAAAGTTAATCAGCAATGTAACACTCTATGATTTACCTGGGAACTTTAAGCTGAGGTGGTTGAGAGCCTTTATAAATTGAGGTCAATTCGAAAGACTGACACTCAAGCGTACACTTACTTTCACACTTTCAGCAACTGCGAATCCAGAGCCCAAAAGCAAGATGACTGACCATGGAAATCTTCGCCTTACAGCATCCCAAGTAAGAATTGCATCTCTTTTTATAGGAAAGCGATTGCGTTCTTGATTGTCAATTTTACGGGATTTATGACATCTGTTAGAGCACTGTACCTGATTTGGGTCGAAGAAAGAAAAAATCAGGCATTTCCCTTGGCCATATGAATAATATAAACACTGCCAATATTCCTGTGCAAGCGTCCGTGACGTAGCCACTAAATTCATTTTCTGCGGCCAAATTAGTGAACCTTCTCAAATCACTAACTGTTTGAAAAAAATTGCCCATCCTTGGATTACTTTAGGATCCCTCGTTATCCACGAAAAGATCGTAAGCGTAAATATGACTAGCGTCGAAATTTCACCAAAGCTAAAATAGCAATATGGCCTCTATTTAAATGGCATGTGTCATACGATGGAACTATTTTACAGATTTCCTAGAAACTTACGTTATCGCCCCAAGTTCGCTGTATGCAGTTTCCACAGTTTTTCTCACACGTCTTTCATCGGCTTTCTCTTCTTCTGTTGGTTTTGCGAACACCCCGAGAACATGGTGAAGTCCGACGAATTGCAACTTGAAAAAGCAATCACTCCCATAATCGTACTTGCATTCAAAGATATTTTAGCTTAGAGCTATGCTAGATCTCGCGAATTTCATGTTAGGCACATTATGTAAGATGCGCAAAATTTGCCATACGACCCATATTGCATGTGAAAATTGTTGAGAGAACATATAGAGCGAACAACAAGAATAGGATAAAGGAAAGAAAAGCCACGATTTGCTGCGAAACACTGTGATATGGAATAAGGATTACAAGACTGAGACATTTTTTGCACTTGAACATTGCTTGTATCTGCATGATTGCAAGCATGCAAGACTAAGCGTCATTATCAAGTTACAAAGCTACGATATGCTCGAAATCTGGGCCAATTTTCCAGCATTTAGCGAATTGTGGAAATTTATTTGTTCTGGATCCGTAATTGAATTCGAGGTCAACAGCTGACCTGCACAATCAGCCACGATGCCATCATGCAAGCTATCATTGGAGGTATCGCAAAAGTCATCCATGACAAGTAGGTAATACCGGTGTCTTCTCCGGGGAAATACCTGACTCAAGCTTATTTTGATAAAAATAACTTTGATTCGCAAGCTCGAAGGCTTACTCGAAAAGTGTGGATCTAAAAATGAGATTCGGTGCAGTTGAATTGATAGTACCAGTACCACCAATCAATGAAGCATGAGCGACAATGAGCATCAAACATTTGCAAATCCCTTCAATAAGTTAATTTCATCATTTTCCATAGGCTGTGGACATACCCCGGTCTCTTTTAGGTAATCGTGAAAATTCCAGACTTTGTGGCGTGTACCTGAAGTAGGTATGATAGTAAGTATTGAATGAATTTTATGAAGTTAGTTTGGAACTTGTGGTGAAAGCAAGAACTGGGGCGCAACAAAAGGCCCTTGCCCTTGTTCCACGGGAATCAAGACTACAGTAATTTGAACATACTGATTATGACTTGGTGATTCAATTCACACCAGTGGATACTGAAAAGATCTACGTCACTAAACTCACTTCATCTGCAAAGTGAACTAATCTCCCCCAATTCATATCCAAGCGATGGTTTTCTTAGAACATACAAATCAACAATATAACAAAACTACGGTGTATACTCGTCTCCCAAATCTTGAATTTTCAAAACAATGCATGCATAAAAATATTGAAAGTAAGGTGCAGGCCCGGCACAAAGTGGGCAAATGACAGGCTGGAAATCGTTTTAGTGAGAAAGCAAGAAGAGTGTCGTTTTTACGGCATTCGGGGCAAAGCCCCGGAAAAAAATTAGTAGTTTATGCTCTCTGCTTATCTCAACATGTTATGTGCCTCAACAGGCAAACTTTGGACTTGGCGCGCGTCAAACAGCGCCGTCGCTTGAACGATGTTATTGTAGCAACACACAAACAAGTCTAGTTTTCAATATATGCGTAAAGATATGGCACCAAACTTAAGCGAACGAAGAGAGGCTAGTGAATGGAGGAGTGAATTCAAATTGCGGTTTGCAATGAGCAGATGACGATATGGTATGCTGCGCCGAAAAATGGAAAAATGGCTCGTTTGCAAGCAGAAGAGGCGAAATCGCGATTTTGGTAAGTAAATTTTGGTAATCGAGATCGAGATTTGGTAAGTATACGCGCAGTAGGACTAAAGAACAAAGTGTGAAAAATTATGAAAAACTATGTGAATGAAGAGCGTGGCTAACATTTTTCTAAATTAGATAGACAATTGCCATCTGAGGTAGGCTAAACTTCCGTTTCACATAGGTTTTTCAAAATTTTTACATAAATAAAATTGCATGGAATACTCGACAGAGAAAAACAAGCTCGACAACACAGACCGTCACAGAATCATGATCTACCTCAAACTGGACAAAATGGAAAGTATAGTCTTCCTCCCCCCACTAGTCGGTCGGCGGTCGAGTTTGAATTCGAACTGGAGCAGGCTGACCGTGACGCCGCCCCTCGGCGAATTCTGCACGAGCTTTGTTCTTATTTTCTTCGTGTTTCTTTGCTATCTCTCGTATTGCGGCAACGTTCTTAATCAGACTTTTAGATTTCGTACCGCTAATTCTTTGCAACAAACACTTTTTGAGAGGGTTTCAGCCTTACCGCAAAAAATAGTCTAGAGTACATATTCTAACAAAAAACTTGACCCATTTCATCAAATCACATTTGTGTATATGTCACTTACCGGAAAAAAAGAAATTTCCCATCTAAAAATCTCCAATCGCATCCTTCTTCCCGGTTTACATGGAAAAATGTAAAACAAGCGAGCACAACTGCACGAAGCAATAGTTAGCGGTGCGAAATCTAAAAATCTGATAGAGAACATTGCCGCAATACGAGAGATAGCAAAGAAACATGAAGAAAATAAGAGCACAGCTTATATGCAAGCGGTTGGCTGAGGGCGGTCTGCCGCGCTCTGCCGCGGCCGTTCCGCTCCAGTTCAAATTGAAATTCGACCACCGACCGACTAGTGGGGTGAGGACGACTATATTAAATTACCTTAGAAATCAATTTTGTTAGAAAATTCTTGCAAGCCTCCCAATTGGTCATCGTGCAGACACATGATATGTGTCATTAATTGATTCCAGAAACGCCGGTTTCTTGGAATGAGAAAGTGCGCTCCAGTTGAACAACCTACATAGGCGGGAACAAGTAGGAAATCGTAAAAATCGATAGTGGCAAAGGCGAAGCCGTTTTACCGATGTCCATTTGCCACCCTCGTGCCCGGCCCTGGTAAGATGAGGCACAGATATACTAACCAAAGAGTCGTTTTACTTCTCCAACCTAGTTATTGCATATTACCTATAGCTCACATATATTAGGTTGATGCAAAAGTTATGAGCGCGGTCTCCATGCGACTGTAGCAGCGTGTTTATTAGAAATTGCATAGAATACTCGACAGAGCAAAGCAAGCTCGACAACACACACCAGAACAATAATCTTTAAATTCGAAAAAATTAAAGAGTACTCATTTAATTCAGAAATCAATTTTGTTAGAAAATTATTGCAAGCCTCCCAACTGGTTGTCATGCAGACACTTGATATGTGTCATTGATTAAGTTGCTGTAATTTTTGAGGCTAGAAGTAGAGACAAATTAGGCTGTAAAATTGCCTTTTTCGGCTTTTCTGCGCTAAACTCATATTTTTTAAAGTAGGGCACATACAGGGATAAGATTTCCAGGTTTCTATTCCAAAAGTTTTTGAAGTACAACTTCATATGCGAAAATAGCGCGCGAATCCTGCTCTCCGTTTCCTTTGCGCTTTAACACCTTTTTTCCAAGCGTCGAAGTCCTCCTCAAGTCTTTGACTTTGCGGTAAGGGATTTAGCAGAGGAGCATGTCTAAGCCGTTATGCAAATTTGGGCTCCTGCTACGTCACAAACTTGGCAATTCTTGTATTTCGAGTAAACGTTGAGACCAAAATTTTGGTGAAAGACTGCCTTTGAAAGCTTGCCATCGTATCATGGAAGCTAAAAACAGACTCACTTAGTTTCCCGACCTGCACTATCTTCCAATTCTAAATCATTCGTTTTTTTGGAAGTATTCTGTGAAGGAGTCATTTTGTGAATCATCATAGACTCTAATAGCGCGAACGCTATCGGTGACATCAAGGCAGCACAGGCGGTGTCTGATATCCATAAAGATCTGTAGAACTATAGCACTTTAGTTTTTTGTAGTGAAGAAATAAGATGCTGCGTACATGAATGTAGTTATACACATGAATCCAGCTAGGAGCCTGAAATACAAAGTGAGAAACGACTTTTAATCTAGCTTGTATGTCTTTCTCACCATTGTGGCCTTGCTCCAACAAGGGTAAGCATTTTAAGAGCAAATCTTTTATGTAGTTGACATTCTTCTACGGCTAATGATAGCATCAAAGTGCTCAGAAACATCATGTTAGTTTCCTAAACTTAATTTATGAAAAAGGTGGTGTAGCCTTTTGTGATTTCCTTTTCCGCTCTTTCTTGAAAACTATCTTCTTTGAATTCTGCTTGACAAAGACATTATTCTTGACAATTAACACTGCCTTTTCTCGTGATGACCAATGCATGATAAATTCTCAGGAAACTCATCAACTCTGCTCTCCGTGGTTTTGGGCGTCGAATTATGTTGGGGATCGACGTAGCTGGCATCCGATAATTTTGGAAACAAAGACCTTTACAAGTTCACATCTTCTCACAAATTCCGTTGCGAGGTCAAACTCAGAAGAAAACAACTTATCCGCGAGTTGTCGACTTTTCTAAGACTTTCACAACCTTAGTATAGCGTTAATTTCAGTAAAGTGCCTCGCAGGCCATACCTGTAGCCGATACATCTACAACGACAAGGCTAAGCAATAGCAATTGAAGCTAGCATTTGATGTGAATTCAAAATTCTCACATAATGTGAGACCATTCTAAAGCAAGTAGACCTGCTTGTGTGTAAGTTGTTCGCAATTTGGCAGCTATGTTTGGAAAGGCCCTTCTTCTATAAGTCCAATGCTGATGCATATTATCGCAATTTTCCCTCGATTTCACCGTTGATCAGCAAAATTATTCTTTACCTTTTATCTCTTAGAGACGATAACCAGCCTGCCTCTATGGCAACCATGGCAAGCGTTGCCAAATTTGAAAAAAAAAACAAGGTTCTTACAAACTCCGCTTTTCTCAAAATCAAAATACTGCACTAGGCTTCATAGGTCATACAAAACATTGGTGGTGACACATGAAACAATGTTTTTTGTTGATATATTGCTGTACAAATTTACAAACTTACACTGAGATAAGCTCTAGCAATTTTCTGAATAGGTGCCACACTAAGCGCTGGCATAAGTACTACAGGTAGGAGGGCCGTTACTGCTAGAGGCACTACTTCTGCTACCCAGTAACAGGAGATCAAGAATATACAGTACGCACATCTTCCCTCCTGAAGCATTAATGACTAAACCTAAATCAGTTTAAAGAGAATTACCTAATTAACTTTGACTTACTCTTCCGGTAAGCAAAGCCAGGGGAAGTAGTAGCATTGGCGCTACAAATATCCATATTGTTTTAAAGTAGGTCTTGATATCTCGTAATAAATATTTCATCCAATGCATTGAACCCTTGACCGAAGTCTAAAATGATCAATAATAGTAAAAGCCAAAGTATCTCATAAACCGCGACCTACCAAAATAAAGCTTTGTAGATCGGCAAAAGTTTCTTTTCTGACTTAATGACAGATTTGTGAAAACAAGGATAAACCAACAAATTAAGTGGTATTCAGCTGTTTAGTCTCAGAATTTTCCGAGCAGTTCAACTTTCTTATTTAGCTTGGAGCCACTAAAAAAAAGTTGACAATGAATGACCAGAAACATTTTGCAACGCTTTGCCTATTCGCTTCTCTCCAGGTATAAGCATATGAAGATATCGCATGGTGTTGCTTTTAGAAAAATTACGTGATACTTGTTTGTATCGAAATCCGTCAAACACTTATTCTATAAGTTATAATACATAAACATCGCCTTAGTATAAAGGCAAGTTAAAAATGGACATGGGCAGTGTGGGACTGGGAAGTTGTTAGGCTTTTTTGGCAGATATCGCTATTAAAAATTAACTACCAGAAAGAAGAGGGAGTTGCACGAACAGCTTAAACTTGTAGGTCAATAAATGTGAAGAATAGATTCTAGTAATTCTAAGCGATTACCTGGAGAGTGTATGAGAATGTTACACTGGAGAAAGTTTGCTCTACGACGGTAAGCTTATTTTCTTTGGAAGCATTTAATTCAAAGAAGTGATAACGACGTGCTGGTAGAGCGAGCAGTCAAAGTGAACGTTAATGAATAATTCAAACAGGCAGTATGAAATAGGAAGGTACGAGAGATACTGTTTGAAGGTAGGATATAAATAATTAATATATAATATTAAGCTGGTGCAAAAGTTTTGTTAGTTTTTTCAATCAATCGGCAAACACACTAAAATGAGGATAAACAAAAATTTCAAAATGTATCCGATGCAGAATTTCTTCCTCTTTCCAGCTGCTAAACTCCCATTGTGTTTCGTTGCGAGAGTGACAAAAAATTTGCTGTAAATTACAACCATTCGTTTTTAGCACGTCCAATTTTCACTAATTTTCACAATTTTTGTATGAGACTTTCGAAGGAGCCCTAATAACTAAGAGATAGGGCAAGCATTTTGCCAACTTAGGCAGTTTTTTCTTTTTTCAGCTGCTTTTTCAAATTTTTGCTGAATAATTTCTAAAAGTCTTGTGTTTTGGAAAAATCGCATAACCTGTTATTGCACCACACACTGCAAAACCTACACAATACTGAGGTTTTAACACTTGATTATTACTACCATTATCATTACAAAGTTAATGAGCAATTTTCGCTTCAGATTATGAAAGCTTTTGAAACATAGGTTACTTCAGTGCGCACTCCTGAAATTGAGAAATACTGCGATTTTTCCCACAAATTTCGCCTTTCTCGGCAAAAAAAGACAAGTGCTAGAAGGAGGAGAAAAAGTTGCATCGAATGGTGACTAGGCTGAATGTAAAATTTGATCACTTCAAAAAATAAATCGTAGGAATTCTAAAAGACAAGTCGTAGGGCTACAAAAAATTGCTTCTGTTGGCAAAAGGTTTGCCCTATTTGGTGGTTATTAGGACTTCCCCGCAAGTCTCATACGAAAATTTTGAAAATTAGCGATAGTTGGATATGTTAAAACGAGTGGTTGTAATTTCCAGCAAATATCTCGTCACTCTCTCAAGGGAACAAATGGGAGTTTAGCAGCTGGAAAGAGAAGGAAGTTTTGCATCGGATACATTTTAAAGTGTTTGTTCATCTTCATTCTAGCGTATTTGCCGATGGATTGAGAAAAAAACTGACATTTTTGCACCAACCTAATATATATGTATGAAAGCATCTTCCAGGCTCAACACAAAGTACGATAGTGAATTATCTATTCTATGGCATGGATTTGAGGATGTGATTTTGGCACATAAATCGATAATTACTAACAATGGGCATTTGGTGCTTTACAATCGTTGAAATAAAAACGGCAGGAGGAACATTGACAATCACGCTTTATATAAGATGGAGAAAACGCTGATGCAGTGCGTTTGGTTGGCAGCGCGGTTTTGATTACGATGTACAGTGTTTTTAACTCCTCATGATATAATGCAAATTGCAGAACAGTTTTGATAGTTTGGAACCAGTTTATACATACATAAGTGACTATTTATATGTATTGTTGGCACTGGACTACATTTTTGAGATTGGTCGCATAACTGGTCATCATTTTACTTCTGCTATCAATGGCAAGTTTTGGATTTCATTCATTGTTACGGACCCATCGCGAGGGTGTAAACGTCAAGCTGGAAATTGTTTAGAGAAAAGAAAAGAGGTACGCGCATAAAAGTTTATATGCACTGCGTTCCCTGAGATACTTCCAGCTCCGTAATGAACAAGTTTCACAACTGACTTCGCGGATCCTACCCAAAGCGCGACTTGCAAAATCAAGTTACGGTAAACATCAAACTCGTTCACAATGCAGAGATAGCATGGGGTAGAGGCTATATGTCGCCGAATATGGGAGGGTCCCGCCTCTTTTCGGCGACGTATAGTCCTCTCCCCTAATGAATGCACATGAAAATATAAGGTATATCCAGAAGGGCTAGAGTGAGGAACTATGAGATAATACTAAAAAGTAATGTCTAATTTTGTTTACCTAAAGCTTCGTAACATACTAATTGCCATCACCACTAAGCTCAGTGCGCAGGTCTCACATCAAGTGCTATAGAGAAGGTCAAGTCTGCTATGTAAATTGTGGTCTTACGCTCCGCGTTTCGCCTTCCTCGACGCTGTAACGTCAAGAACGTCAAAGGTGTTCGTATTATTAGGTTGGCGAAGTTTTTCTGTTACATTTTTTGTATAATGAAGTTCTCAGAAATTTCAGAAGTCGGAATTTGAAATTCGCTTTATGTAGGGTACGACACGACGTACACAAAAGCCTGATGATGCCTCAATGCCCAATAGCTAGCAAGTTTACGACAGCCTTATAAGCAGACTCAAAATTGTCATTTCTGCGGCGGCGCCGTGGCTTTCATTGGTGTCAGGGCGGAAGAGCGTCTTTGGAGTAAGTGGCTCCGTTCTTAGAACACATAAGCTTGAAGCTTTATCAAATCAGACGACCTACATTGATGCAATGGTAGAATGGTAACGATAAAAGGCATGGGAAAATAATGTTACATACGTCTGGGCTAAAGAGATATATCACAGCAGGTCATGCTTATGGCATGACCTGTACGTGCTTAGGGATGAAAACGGTACTAGAGGATTCTGACATTGTCGGCACAGTGCCACCGGTAGAAAGCGAATGGACGGCAACGGACATATCAAATCGAAATAAATAGCGACTGATCGTTTTTAACAATGGGAGAATACTTGATCGAAGTGGCGTTTCCATATGAAATGTCTACTATCTTACAGAGCATAGAACGCTGATACCAAATTTGTTTTCTTTATCTGCAAAGCGCTTCTGGGAGAGGAGTTCTGGGAATTTTTTGAGGTAAAAATTCAATGATTTGGCTGAGATAAAAATAGGTGTTGAGGCCTTTCCGGCGCTTGAAAAGAGTAATGACTGACAGTTTACTAGATTGAAGGTCTTTATTTCATAAAACGCCCTGAGAGTAGTCATGGCCGTATTTGAGCTCACGGACTAAAGTTCTGATCGATTCTATTGTAGCGGCGCTTTCAAATCTTTGCATCAAAAATTTTTCATAACTCCTCTCTCACAAGGAAAGGATAGTTGGTGACCGCGGCCTTTTGAAATGAAACATAAACCATTAAATGCATTTTGGCGATGATTCCAAATCTGTTTTCATTATCTGCTGTGCTCTCTTCCTAAAGAAGTTATGAACATTTCTTGTCACCAAAATTTGCACTGTTTTTGATGCAGGATTCACCAATATCGTTAAAATATTCGCTTACGCACTACAAAAGAGCGTAAAGATAAAGTAAACCTTCACGTTAAGTTCAGAAAACTGTCACCAATACATCAGAGTCCGAAAATCCTAGATACTGACGATTTTGACTGCCTAAATCTCGCAAAATCAAAATGGAAAGGAGTCCATAACTTCGTTCAGGGAGTCGCACAGCACATAATGAACACAGGTTTAGAATCAGCGTCCCAAGACGCACCTACTGGTATACATCTCATTGCAAAAGGCCACGGTCACCAAGTTTCCTTCCCTCGTCAGAAGCGCTTGCAGGTACCGAAAGCAAGGTTAAGTTTAGCATCCCATGCTCTATAAGATAGTATATATTTTATATGAAAACGCCTTTTCGACCAAGTATTCATCCCTTATAAAAAGCAGTAGTCTACTAAAGGAGGTGAAAGAGGTGCCGCACTTACTGGCACTTTTTCTTTGAATTTTTTTCTACGTCTAAGTAAGTTCTTGCCCTCATCTTTGATGGTAGCACTTTGGTGCCGCTAACATGTCAAAACGAGAGATAGATAAGTTTTAAAAAAACTGGTAGGCAAATTTTTTCTTTCTGTAGGCATCATGTAGGATTTGATACAGAGAGGGGAAATTTTTGTAAATCTCTAAAAATGTCCTCTATATCCAAAAACCGATGTGCGCTGACGTTTCACCATATAACTCGTGTGAACGTGTGCGGACATGACCATATACCATCTCCCTATATTCGCTAAAAACTATGGACCATGCGCTGCCCGATCATCGTTCGGTCTTCCCCTGATCACCTGGAAGAATGTCAGCCCGTTGACAAACATATTCATAAAACGTACTCCCACTTATAAAGCGGATGTTCTGCATACGGACTATGGATCTGATAATACCGGTGGATAGACTTTAACCCCGTCAACAATCTGTGAACATAAGAATTTTTGAAGTTTATTTTAGAATAAATAAAAGCAAAAGTGTAACAGAAATTGATCGCCAACATAATATATCCTTCCAGATACAACCCAACCGCCTGACGCTATAATGACTCTTACTTTGCGTTCGAGAGAAGCGACCATTCAACTGCAGCTGCTTGCTATTTTGATATTGATAACATCTCATTCACTTTCGTGCTAAGCTCAGCCCCGATTCCCGTAGATCAAAGTGCGTATT